AATTTTTTATTATAATGTATTATTTTTATATTTTTTAGTTAATGTCATTTATTGAATGTTTGGGTCAAAATAGAGTTGGCTTTTATTGTTGGAAATTATTTAAAATTAATCGATTTCAAGGATATAAAGTTAGAAATAATATTATAATTAAATGCATTTTAATTTAATTTTTATTTTTTTGCAGATTATATCGTTTACTATCATATTATACATAAAAATTTTAAAACGTTTTAATTAATATAGAGACCGGGCACCAATTTTATTAAAATAAAAGTTATATTTATTGTAATTATTCTCAATTTGATATTTGTTTTTAAATATTGTGACAAATATTATTCAATAATCTGTGAGTATTTGTTATCAACGTTTTGTTGACAGTATTGTATCAGCAATTGGTTGACAGCATTGATGTCCGCATCACTCGATTCACGCATTTCTTCGCATATATTCACAAATATATACAGTTTTCCCAAAACGTATGGATTCTGTCATTAAATAAAAATAAATTATTTAGTATTATTGATAAAAGCATAAATAAATAATCTATGTGTTAATACTTGATTCATATTAAAACAGTTATCGTGAGAATTATCTACAAATTTTCGATAACATTCCCTATTATTGAGCTCTTGTTTAGTGTTTAGAATAGCATTGCTATCGACTGTCAGTAAGTGTTGAATACTATTCACGTAATCAGTCATATGTTTGTCAACAGATTGTCTTTCATTTAACAAACTCTTCAATTCCTCAGTATATCTATGAAACAAAAATTATTAAAAATTAAAATAATATAAATAAATTAATTAAATCAATAAAATTACCTTTGTCTGTCAGCATCATTATTGGCGTTTTTAATATTAGCTTGTAGCATATAAACGGGCACATCTCTGTCAGATACCACGTGCATATTTACTCGCATCTCAAGATTAATTTTTGATGGTAAAATACTATTACTTTTTCTCGCTCCTATTTTAAAACAATTGAACATGTTTAAAATAAATAATTAACTATTCAATATAAAAAATATTTATACCAATAAAATCTGACACGGGTAACTTTGCGATTGAAACATCACCATATTGCTGCGCTTGTGGGTAAAATTTTCAGCATCTACCTGACCAGGTGTGTTTGTCTATTTATATATGTAATCAAACTGTTGCTGCAGGATCTCGTTGTTTAAATCAACCTGCTCGTCGTTTAAAAGCCAGTAGTGAGCGAAAAAGCTGCCTAATAATTAGCATGATACAATATTATTGTAAACTGTAAATTAATATTGAATTTTATATTATGTATTTAATATGCGTGATGAATTTAAAATCCTTGAATCTTAAAGAAATATAAATGTGCATATAATTTACCTATGATAGTATTTATCAGGGTAGATTTTGCCACTCATTTTAGTGGGTGTTGATGAAGTAATAGCATAAACATTGATATCCTTTGGTAATAGCTTGTTAAACATCGAGCCTATGATTTGCATCACAATATTGTTATTAATTATGGTACATTTTATAATAATGTTGTAATAAACTTTAACTGATTCGCAGGCTTCCAAATAAAACACTAATTTCCCGAAACGTTTGTTTTGGTGCATATCTATGAGGGCATCGTTTAAGTCCTTTGCGTGTAAATACTTGCGTTGAAATAGGATTATCTTTATATTAATATAATTACATAGTTGTTAAAAAAAATATTAATTAGTTATTGAGTGGGTGAGTGAGTGAGTGAGTGAGAGAGAGAGAGAGAACAGTAAGAGAGAGAGAG